GGCCTGGGAGTCCCAGCGGTTCCAGAGCCACCCCTTACATTGCTCCAAAACCCAGCAAATAAAACTACACCAAGAATTGCTGTGCCCTCATCCATCGCCCAGCAAATGCATGGACAGTTTCCCACTAACAGCACGCAGCAGAATGGGTCACATTGGCCACTATTCCGAATGCAGGGAGCTCCAACCCCACGTACCTGTGCTGGCTGGAACCTGTGCCATCCTTTCCAGAAGGTACCACAGCATTTCTCAGAAGTTGTTGCAGGGGAATCACCGGGCTGCACAGAGACATCACTGCAGCTCACACAGAGCAGTTTGTATAAAATCAAAAGATTTCAAAGCAATGAAGGGCTGGCTTTGCATGTAGATCAAATGTAGCTCACATAAATAAAAATGACAGCCTCAAAGACTTGCAAAAATAATAATGTTTAAACTCATAAATATTCCAATTTTTCTTTTTTAACTGCAGGGGAATAAGGCAGTGATATTGCAAATTCAGCTAAAGCTTTCCAGATTCCTCTACTTGTTTTCTGCTTGGGCAGGGTGGTGGCTGTGAATGAATGTAAATTAAAAACCCACTGCACAGATTAGTCCCTGTGATAAAGATTGATAAATACAAAACCCTTTCACATATGGACGCACATATTTCAAATACAGATCAATTCAACACACCTGAACAAAGTGCTTTGGTCCTGCTCACTTTAAAACAACCCCTGCAATCAATTCAAGGCTGCGCAAAAAACCCCAAACCCCACAGTGGTGCTTTCCACTGTCCAAGGGACTCTGTGCTCCATCCCCATGGAGCACAAGGTGCAGCTGATCCACAAAATCCCAGCTGGGGCCACAGGTGGCATTTCTGTGGGCCAGGAGGTGTCCTGGCACCAATACGGCCTTGAAGAAGCCCAGCAGCCTTGGCTCTGGTGTCTCTGGGAGCTTGTCTGGTCACACCTTCCCCGCCTGATTTGCAGCACAGCCACATTCCAGGGCTCCACCTGCAGAGTCCCAACACAGAACCAGGGCAGGAGCAGGAGTCAGCTTTAACCAAGGCATTTATTAGGAACTCTGGGAATCACCTCTCCAATGCCACTGCGCTCTGGGTTAGAGCCCTGCAGCACCTCCAAACAGGATGATTTAACCATTTCACCTCCCAGTTCTGCACCCTGCTGCTGCCAGCCCCCCTGTCAGCTCCAGCCGCCCCTCCTGGGTCACACAGATGTGGAACACGGAAACAATTCCCTTTGCACTCCTGCTTTGGCCCAAACCCTCCAGCACAGAGAGCACCAGCTCTGCTTCTCCTGTCACCCTGCACTGCCAGGCACTCAGGAGAGCCAGCAGGAGGAGGCCCTGGCTTCTCTCTCCCGAGTTTGCTCCCGGTTTCCCCGCGCCGTGCAGAGCACCTCCATCGCTTGGCCATGGTGTGGCAGCCAACAACAGTCAGTGAGTGAGGCTGCCCGACTGCCAGAGACACAGTCTGGAGCTCTGCAGCAGGGCAAGAGAAGGAATGGTTGCTTTTTGCTCTTGGGTTTGTTATTTCTTTAGACAAACCCTTAAATTCCTTTTCGTGTGCTCCTGCTCTAAGGCAAAACAAGAACTGTAGAAGTTCTAAGGTAAAACGAGCTGTAGAAAGTTAACAAAAAACATGAGAAATATACTCCAGACTAAGCATCTTTGCCTGTATTTACTGTTCAAAGTCCTGGTAGCTGCAGGGATACTTGGGTTTTTCCTTTGTAAAACAATATCACGTACAGGGTAGTTTGGGTTTTGGCACACCACCACTCCAGGGGTCTGCTTCTATTATTGAGCCATTAAACACCAGGAAAAAAACAGGTGTTCAATTAAACCAAACCCACATTTTTTAGAGATTCCTGTACTTCCTCCACCACTCTCATCAAAGACACTTCAGCTGACCCTGCTGAGAGCACATGCGGAAGCCTGGTGAGCTCAGCAAGTCCCATGTCATCTTCCCAGGCTTTCAGCAAACAGGAAAAACTTGTTATTTTTCAGCAGAAGCGCAACTCGTCATCCTGCACTCCTGCCCCGACCCGTAAAGTAATCCGTTTGTAAAGATCTGACCATTTTTGATAGAAGGACACCCAGCAGAACTGAGGTCCAGCTGGGATGGCAGCAGCAGGAGCCAGGCTGCCCGGGGCAGGCCAGGGGCACTGCCCATCACTCGGAGCCCTGGGCGCTGCCCAAGGGGGCCCCAGCTGTGCCCATCAGGGCTGGGCCATGGCCAGGGCCAGGCTGTGCTGATCTGTGCTGCTGAGCTGGTGACAGGACCAGGCTGTGGAGCAGGGCAGTGCTGGGGCTCAGCTTGTGCCCTCCTCCCCGTGCCGCCAGCCCAGAGGGGAGGCACGGAGGGAGGCATGGGGGGCTCTGAATGCAGCAGAAATAACAGCAGCAGCACGTGACAAGTAGCTCATTGCCTCGGCAGTCAGCCCACCAGGATGCTGCAGGACAGTTCAAACTTCTGCCATGTGAAATAAGAGCATTTATTGGGTAAATCAAGCCAGCGTATTACCAAAAATGAAAGGAGCACACTGGAGGCTGGGGAAGCAAATCCCTGCTCTGCTTGGTCCCCAGGACACTGGAACCTGTGGGATAGGCCTGAGCAGGGGCAGAGCTCAGCTCCTGGCTGCAGGCATCACCCCTGCGGCATGCCCACACGATGGGAACTGCTGACACAGCCAGGAGGAGTGACAGCGGTTGAGAAACATCATAATCACCAAAGAACAATAAATATTGATTTTATAAGTGCATATTTGTGTCTAGTTTTTTTGTAAACACCATCCAGCGATTTTGCCTGGTTACTTTTTTGTTATCTTAGGCCAGCAAACTCTCCAGCAAGCCCAACAAACTGAGATCAAACAGGTTGCATTTGAGAGAAGGGATCTGCCTGACAGCAATTTCTGATTTGGGAAGGCTCACCTGCCCTCACTGATACCCCAAGGACAACATTTTTTGACATTGCAGATACTGGTATGATGAATGAGGCCAATCGAGTATCTCCTGTAGATTGATGCACTTTAAAAAAAGAAACCCTCAGTACCCACAGCACAATTTCAGCAGAAGACACATGGAAGTGTAGGAGCTAGAACAGAATTATTTTGAATAATTTCAGTATTGTAGAGAAACCTTGTAACCTACCACAGGAGAAGAGACACTCGGCCATAAATGACCCTGCCTGGGCTTGCAGCCTCAGCGTGAAGCACGTGTGAGCAGCCTCTAACTCATCAGGGTCTCAGAGGTAATACGGGAGTTAAGGCTGCACTGACATCACTCCTGAATATAATAGTAATAAGTAATAAGTTAATGCTTTAGAGAAAAAATAGCATTTTCCCTGTTTGCCTCAGGCTCCCACAGCACAGCCCCTGTGCTCTGTGCACCAGTGGCAGCCTGCAAAGGATCCCCATCGTTGCTTCATCTCACTAATTAGAGTTTACCTGCTGCAGATTACAACATGGGATTAGCATTAAGCAAGAGCTGTGCTGCTCACCCTCAGCCTGGTCCTGAGAAATGCTGAGCAGCATTCAGGAGAGATTTAATTCAGCTCTTCCTTGTAGGGCGGCTAAAACTTAACAACTTCTATTTAGAATAATAAATTCACATACATTTTTTTTTATATCTCCAGGTTTGGGAAGGATTTTCAATTCCCACCATAAATCAAGACCCCAAAGGAACCCCTGTGTCACTGAAGCAGGTGTCAGATCAGCAAAATCAGCAAAACCTCGGGAAATGCTTGTGACCCTGCAGGGCACAGAGGCAGAACTGCAATGGCAGTGCCACTGTTGGTGTCCAGCAGGTTAAACGCAGAGAGGCACTGCTGGGACAAACGGGGCACAGACCCGGGCTGGACTCCACTGGTACCAGCACCCCTGGGCACCTGCACTGGTACCAGCTGGCACCAGCAGTGACTGTGCACCTGCACTGGTACAGTCTGGTCCCAGTACTGACTGCAGCTGCACTGGTACCACCTGCACACCTGCACTGGCACCAGCAGTGACTGTGCACCTGCACTGGTACAGTCTGGTCCCAGTACTGACTGCAGCTGCACTGGTACCACCTGCACACCTGCACTGGTACCGCTTGTATTAGTACCACCTGCACACCTGCACTGGCACCAGCAGTGACTGTGCACCTGCACTGGTACAGTCTGGTCCCAGTACTGGCCGCACCTGCACAGGTACCACCTGCACACCTGCACTGGCACCAGCAGTGACTGTGCACCTGCACTGGTACAGTCTGGTCCCAGTACTGGCCGCACTTGCACAGGTACCACCTGCACACCTGCACTGGTACCGCTTGTATTAGTACCACCTGCACACCTGCACTGGCACCAGCAGTGACTGTGCACCTGCACTGGTACAGTCTGGTCCCAGTACTGGCCGCACCTGCACAGGTACCACCTGCACACCTGCACTGGCACCAGCAGTGACTGTGCACCTGCACTGGTACAGTCTGGTCCCAGTACTGGCCGCACTTGCACAGGTACCACCTGCACACCTGCACTGGTACCGCTTGTATTAGTACCACCTGCACACCTGCACTGGCACCAGCAGTGACTGTGCACCTGCACTGGTACAGTCTGGTCCCAGTACTGGCCGCACCTGCACAGGTACCACCTGCACACCTGCACTGGCACCAGCAGTGACTGTGCACCTGCACTGGTACAGTCTGGTCCCAGTACTGGCCGCACCTGCACAGGTACCACCTGCACACCTGACAGGCGCTGACGCTGTCCCTCTCCTGCTCGGAGGAGCAGCTTCACACCCACAGTGAGACACGTCCAGAGCACCTTTCCCCCATGGACAGTGTCCCCCACGTCCAGAGCGCCTTTCCCCATGTCCAGAGTGCTCCCTATGTACAGAGCGCCTTTCCCCATGTCCAGAGTGCTCCCTATGTACAGAGCACCTTTCCCCGTGTCCAGAGCACCTTCCCCCATGTCCAGAGCACCTTCCCCCCCGTTAACCCCGTCCCCCCGCGGGCGGGCGGCCCGGGCCGGCTCAGGCAGCGCACACCCAGCACGGCTGCAGCCCGCTCTCGTCGCACGCCGGACAGCGCAGCGCCCGGTAGGACTCCCGGAATCGGTTTGCCAGCATGGAGAACTTGCTGCCGTGGCACAGCGAGCAGGGAGCACAGCCCGAGCCTCTGCACTGGGAGCAGCAGTGTTCAGCATAGCCCTCCTGCAGCAGACACAGAAAAACCTTGTTAGTGGGTGGGAGATACCAAAGTCGGGGACGTTGTTGGAAGAGGGAAGTTCTCTCTCCCAGCCTTTGCCATCACGGTTGCTCCTGACACACCACTCTGGCCATGACAATCAGTTCTCCACAGCAAGGACTTGGAGAAAAAGGCTTCCACGTGCTTGGGGACAATTTGTGGCTGCTGCTAGAAAATGAGCAGTTAGTGTGACTGGGCTTATAACACAATACTCCAAACTCATCTTTCTCCTCTGCACAGCTCCACCCATCCTCCTGCCATTTCTTATCGCACCATTTCACTCTGTAGCCTCAGGTTTGAGCCACACTTCATTTCTTCAGGGATTGCTCGTCACCCTCTCTGCCCAAATCCCTCATCATCACCACGCACACTTTCTTTTGAGCTGTGCTTTGTGCCTGCCTCTCTCCCACTGTGCCAGGCACCCTCTTTCAAATCCCGCCTTGAAGTTCCTGGCAGCAGAAGGACCGCAGTGACCCACGCTCAGTTCCATGAAACTCTATCAGCTCCACATGACAGCATTAGGTTTTGTGGGATCAAATCATGGTCAGACTAATTGGGATTCTGACCAACAAAGTCTCCCCCGTGAGAAAGCAAATGTAAGGCACAACCTTATTTCAGCTGATACTAAAATTTTAGCCTGAAGCAGTCTCAGCCACAGAGCAGCTGTGTTTAGCCTTGTCAGGCTGGAGAAACTCTGGCCTGCTCTTATCCCACTGGGAGGGGTGACCAGGGATGGAGCCCAGCCAAGCCCTGTAAATGCCAGCCATCTCCAGGGGAAGAAATCAGAGGGAGACATGAGCACCTGGAGCCAGCACTGTCCCCAGAGCAGGATCTCAGCGCAGTGTTGGTCGTTATCTCCTGAGGGAAACAGAGTGCTGCTTTTTATCCAAACTTAGCTGGGAGCCAGATACAGAAATGGATGGGGCTTGGGTGGTTGGAGCAGGGTTGTGGGGAAAAAGCACTTTCCACTTTCTCTTACCAGCACATGCTGGTTGCACGTGACCATATTCTCCACATCTGCTTTATGCCCACCACCAAGTCGCTCTTTCTTCTCCCGGTACACGAACGTCCAGTCATTTATTCCCTCAGTCTGGATCATTCTTCTCATGAGCTCCTTCTCGTCCATCGGTGCACGGATGATTTTCAGGTTATTGGTGTAGATGATGATCTTGCCAAAATCTACAACTGGGGAAGCCTGAAGAAGGAAGTTGTCAGCGTCTCTCCAGTATAAATGCACTCTGCAAACACTGGTGGTCCCTGAGCTTCCAGCAGAGCGTCCCCTGCACCAGGCCAGCTGCCCTGACCACCCCCAGAGCATCCAGCAAATTGGTGGAGGTACAGCCCAACTGGGTGAATTTGTATTTTTTTTTCTAGTCATTTTAAAGCTAAACTTGGTCAAACATTCCCCTGAGAGCAGCACTTTGCTGACCTGGTCCCTCCTCCCTGGTGTCATATGGAGTTACTGGGGCCTATTGTTTTACACCCTCTTCATATTTCACAGGCACTCTAAGTGTCTGTGTCAGGAGGCCACGCAGAAGGAGACGTTCTCCTACAAAATGCCCTGAGCCACACCAGCTGCTGCGGTGGCTGTGCTCTCCTGGCACTGGGGCTCCTGCTCCCCGTGGGGAGGAGCACGAGGGGGAGGCAGGTGAGCACAAGTCCTGCCCACCTGCAGAGGGGAGAGCCTCGTGTGTGTCACAGACACGGTGTCTGCAAGCACCAAGTGCATGTGGGTGCAGCACAAGCTGCCACTGGACAGCGTGGTCACCCCAGGTATCTGTGGCTGGGGACACTGGGGAGGAACAGGAGCATTACCCAGGAATGCAAAACAAATGAACGGGCTGGATAAGATCACAGCAGTGCACTGTGCTCGGGCAGGAGAGATTCATCGTGGTCTGATGTTTGCAGGCAAACTGCATGTCCAGTGTGTCAAATCGCAGCCACCTGGGTTTCCCACGCACAGCTTTGATGAGCACCAGGAATTAACAGACTCTCAGTGTGTTCAAATCCATAAAAAGTATTTACACATATTGTGCAGGTACTGCCCCTTTATAAGGACTAAAGAAGCACTTCTCTATCAGTGGCATAAGTCATATGTTAAGAAAATAGCCAGTGAAACTAAGCTGGGATTGTCAAAGTAGCCAAGGAGGAATTCTGGCTGCCAGGGCATGCAGACACCTGGCACTCTGATGGCAGCACTGGCTTCCTGCCAGCCAAAGTCACACAACTTTAATATTTTAAATCTATCTCATTAATTTAACATCCTCCTTACATTTGACTGATCTAGATGCAGTAGGATTCCCAAGTACAGATATCAATAGGTAAGGAAATTTTGTCTTTTACTCTACCCAATGGACACATGCAGATCAGGACCAGGAGAAGCCAGAGCACAGCTGGCAGATGCTGTTCCCTCCTGCAGACCCTGAGGATCCTGCCACACGTGGCATATTCAGCACACAGAATTCCTGGAACAGTGGCTGGAGATTCACAAGCACCCTTTTCAAGTCCTGGCCTGACAGAAGAGTTTTGTGTGAATGAGGCTGCGGTGTGAGGCTCCAAGCAGGATTTACCCCAGAGCTGAGCCCAGAGGGGGACAGCCACGGGCAGCACTTACCCTGCAGGGCTGGCAGGGGGACAGCACAGCCACGGGCAGCACTTGCACTCACACTGCAGGGGCTGGCAGAGGGACACTGTGGGCACTATTTGCCCTGCACAGGGTGTCAGGGGCACAGCAGCACTCACCCCACAGGGTCAGGGGACATCACTCACCCCGCAGAGGCTGGCAGGGGACACCCAAGGGCAGTATTTACCCCACAGGGTCAGTCAGGGGTACAGCACTCACCCCACAGAGGCTGTCAGGGACACCGAGGACAGCACTCACCTCGCACAGGCCGCTGCCCGGGCGGCAGTCGCGGAGCAGGCCCGCGCTCCCCAGCAGGCCCTGGTGCTGGCTCTCCCTCAGCACGCTGATCCTGCGCGCCGTCAGGGCCGTGGGCCAGCACAGGCTCTCGGCGCTCCCCGGCAGCTCCCCGGGCCCGCACAGCGGCTCCTCGGGCTCGAAGCTGTGGCGCAGGAAGCGCCGCGAGCGCTCCTCGGCCGGCGGCTCCAGCTCCTGCCCGTCCTCGTACACCTGCTTGAGCAGCCGGCCGCTGCCGGCCGAGGAGATGCGGAACCTCACCCTGCGGGGCCGCTCCTCCTCGGGCTGCTGCTGCTGGGGCTCCTCCATCTCTGGGTTCCGGCTGCGGCTCCTGCGGATCGGCGCCAAGAGCCCGGGCCCAAAAGAAAACGCTTCCAGCCTCCCCCCACACGGGATGTATAATTCAAGGTCTCTAGTAGATCCTCTCATCTTACGGCAAAACCGACACCGCTGCATTAAATATTGATGGAAACCCACAAAGAGAAAATATCACTGGTAGTGAAGTCAAAAGCAGGTTGGTGAGTGGGGGCCAGGCTGGACACCGCAGCAAGAAAGGAGTTAACCTGGGAGGAGAGGATTAAATGGGAAACTCTACCCATGTTTCTGAAACCATGGAAATGCTTCTGCCACGTGCTGTGATAAGAACTACCCCAAATACATCATCCCAGTAGCATTTCATAATTCTCTGACAAGGTAAAAAGTTAAAAAGACAAGTTCAGAGAAAAAGCAATCCAGCCTCACAAATTGCAAATGTGAATAATTCCTCTCCCATTCTCACAATGAAACCCTGAGAGCACAAAGCTCAGTTTCATTTTCATCTAATGCATTCCTCTACAGGTTGCGAGATCTAATTAAGATATTCTCTCGTTAATGCGCAATCCCTATTTGTAATTCTTGATGCCTTTTAGGGCCTTTTGGACCATTCTGGGTTTGGTTCTCAATTTTAGGAGACTGTCACTCATGCATCTTCCTTTCCCCAGCACTGCCAAACCTCCGTGTCCAGGCAGCCTGGGACCCAGACCCATCCCAGGACAGCCCATCCTCAGAGATGCCCCTGTCACCCAGAGTGGGGCCTCACTGGCCTGGTCTCTGTCACTGAGGGTTTGGGTCCTGTGCCCATCCCTGCCTGGGCACCTCGAGCTCCTCTGACCTCTAGGGGGTAAAATAAAGAGCACGTGTGGTACAAACACATCTCCAGGTAACTGCTGTCTGGGCTTTAAACATCTCCCAACACCTACTTGAATCACGTAGGTCCCCAACAGGAGTTAGAATCTCCTTTTTTTTTTTTTTTGAGTTACAAGATTTTAGTGCATATCCACCACTACATATCCAGAGGGACTCATCCTTGGCAGGATGTAGGCAGAGGCTTCATTTAACTTCTTTCAGCTCAAACCCAGCACTGTTAAAGCTTAATGCTCTCAATAGGTTAATTCATTATCTTTTAAAAGTTTATTAATGAAATCCTAGGATGACACTTTAGAAGGTGCCTGCTAATAATTCCACTGCACAGCCCTTCCACAGACCAAAGAGCCACCACGAGCAGTTTCTGTCACTACAGACCCGCCCTGAGGGTCCCCTGGGCTGCGGGAAGCCTCAGCACAAGGACAGTATAAGATGTTCCCTGCCCCAAGAGAGCAGGTCTGAGCACGCCTGGGAGAGCTCCTGGCCCTGGAGCCGCCCTTGGCATGGCCTCAGCCCCACTGCAGCCAGGCTCCCTCCCACCCCGCTTGGTATGAAACCTGGGATTTGCATGGCCTCAGCCCCACTGCTGCCAGGCTCCTTCCCACCCCGCTTGGTATGAAACCTGGGATTTGCATGGCCTCAGCCCCACTGCAGCCAGGCTCCCTCCCACCCCGCTTGGTATGAAACCTGGGATTTGCATGGCCTCAGCCCCACTGCAGCCAGGCTCCCTCCCACCCCGCTTGGTATGAAACCTGGGATTTGCATGGCCTCAGCCCCACTGCAGCCAGGCTCCCTCCCACCCCGCTTGGTATGAAACCTGGGATTTGCATGGCCTCAGCCCCACTGCAGCCAGGCTCCCTCCCACCCCGCTTGGTATGAAACCTGGGATTTGCATGGCCTCAGCCGCGCTGCAGCGCTGCCGCCAGGCTCCTTCCCACCCCACAACCCCGCTTTGTATAGAAACTCGGATTTGCATGAGCCGCACCGGGCTCCTGCCGATTCCCTTGGAAGGCGGATCCAGCCCTTCCCCTGTGAACCCGCCGAATCCAGCCTCGGAATTGCTGCTCTTCAAAGGGTCCCCAGCGGCCACAGCCCGACACAAATCGCGCTGTGAGATACCTCAATTGGAGCTCATTTTCCTTTGATTGAGGGAACAATGAGGCAGGAAAGGCAGTTCAAAGCAGCAGTGAGAGAACAGAGCGGGAGCACCGCTGCGAGCCGAGCAGAGCCACGGTGGCAGTACAGTTATCCACAGGTGCTGCCCCAGCTCAGTCCAGACTGTGCTGCTGGCACAGCCCCTGCCCCGCAGGACTCGGCCGGGCACGGCCAGCCCGTGCCAACTGCTGCCCGTGCCACCCCAGGGCCGGGACACAGAGCTGGCTGTGTCACCCCTCGCTCCTTTGTGCCTGTGCGCTGGTGACTCCTGAAAAGAGAAGTTCCCTAAGGGGCCATTCCACATTTCTGAGCTGTTCTCAACATCCCGAGTCAGTACTCCCACATTAAATATCCAAACGGGGATTTCCCGGGTGGTGTTTGATGAGGCCATCCCCAGCACCACCCGCGACCCCCGGAGCCCGCAGCGTGCGGGGCTGGCACGGGCGGGTGCGGGATGCGGGGGGAGCCCCGGCACGGGCGGGTGCGGGGTGCGGGAGCCCCGGCACGGGCGGGATGCGGGGGGAGCCCCGGCACGGGCGGGATGCGGGGGGAGCCCCGGCACGGGCGGGATGCGGGGTGCGGGAGCCCCGGCACGGGCGGGATGCGGGGGGAGCCCCGGCACGGGCGGCCGCGGGGTGCGAGGTGCGGGAGCCCCGGCACGGGCGGGATGCGGGGTGCGGGAGCCCCGGCACGGGCGGCCGCGGGGTGCGAGGTGCGGGAGCCCCGGCACGGGCGGGATGCGGGGGGAGCCCCGGCACGGGCGGCCGCGGGAGCCCCCGCCGCCCACACGGCCCCGCAGCTCCGGGGCCAGCGGGGGTTTGTTTCCCACAGCCCGCACGAGCCTTACTAAAAATGCAACAAAAATAATTTAGCATTCAACAGTGAAGTCATTAAGCTGCACGACCTAGATGATCACAGCACTATATTTGACTTCAGACTCCGTTCCAGTGCATTTCAATGACATGTGTCTCCCGAGCGTGGGGCCCGTGCTCCCCCCGCAGCAGGGGAGGAAGGATGGGGCAGCTGGGGGCTCTGCAGAGCACAGAGCCAGCCCTTGCCCCGAGCAGCACAGCACTGGAGCACTGCAGCAAAGCTGGGCCCAGAGAGGAGCCACTGCAGAGCACAGAGCCAGCCCTTGCCCTGAGCAGCACAGCACTGGAGCACTGCAGCACTGGATCACCAAAGCTGGGCCCAGAGAGGAGCCACAGGCAGCTGCGCTTTGAAGGCGTGTTTCCACCTACAAGCTTTGCTGGAAAAGGCTTTGTTGTGCTGTGCTCCCTCAGAGCAGGCCCTGCTGCCCTCCTTGCCCTGCACAGGGAGCAGGACAGGGATGAGCATCGAGCTCTCAGCTGCAGCAGAGCCCTGCTCACATCTCCACAAGCACACAGCAGCCAAGAGCCAGGTGCCAGCACACCAAGGACATGTCCCAACACCCCATGTGACACCAAGAGCATGGGAGGGCGGTCACAGACAGCTAGCACAGCCACCCCTCCCTCTGGCCTGGCAGCCTGCACCTGCATTTCATCATCCCTTGTGCCAGAAGATACTGGCATCTGCAGGTAGAAGTGAACCTCAAAAAACACAAGTATTCTGCTAACTACTGCTCGGGAGTTTCCTATTCAGCAGCACTGAGACAGTCTCAGCTGGCACTCTTTTGTACAAACCTGTCCACATGAGCCAAGGCCTGCTTCCAGCTGTCTCCAATTGATATCTGCCAGCAGCTCAGAACACCTGTAATCTTTTATCTGACATTAAACAACACATTTTTAAATGAACAATTTTTAAATGGTGTTGAAGTTTTAAAATATGAGCTGCCCAGCCAGACCTGACAGGTGATACAGCGCTCAGGGCTGGCTGTGCCATGTGCAGGGTTTGGTTTGGGATCCCCAGGGTAGGAGGGACCTCAGAGCTACCTGATGCACTCCCCCAAATCAGCCTGGTCGTTGTTGCAGCCCCTACAGAGATGCACTGGATTTGTTTGGATTAGCAGAAAACAGGCACAAAAGAGCAGCACACAGGAGCTGCGGTGCGTGGCACCTGCCAAGCAGCCCTGGCACTCACTGTCCTAACACCACTGTTTCCAAATCATGGAAGACCTTGCAGGACTGGCTCAGGGTGAGCTCTGATGTTCAGATCAGGAGGCACTAAAGTCTGTCTCCAGCAACCTGACCCACACCGAGCATTTTTGGCATTCCTGGCCACCATCATCCTCTGCCAGGGACTTACACAGACATGCTGGAAGTGCTGGCCAGGTGGGTGGTTCCTGCTGGGAAATACAGGAGCAGGCACAGATCCTGTGAAAATCCAAGGAGCTGAAGCGGGAGTTGTCCTCCCTCCCAGTCAGAGCACAGCCCCGGCTCCTGCAGAGGGTGGGTGGGTGGGCACAGCCCAGCAGCCCGGTCTCAGGGCTGGGGGCTCGATGTGTTCCCCTCCCGAGAGATCACTCTGAGCTCCTGCAGCCATCAAAGGCAAGCAGAAGCTGACTGCTCACTGTCAGCCCTGAGTCAGCAACCCCCATCACAAGCGTTCCCAAACATCCTTCCTGCATCCAAATCCTTGCTCCAAAGAGGGCTCTGGCCTGCCATCAGAGCACCCCCAGCCTGCCATCGGGGCCGGGACACGGCAGGAATGGAGCAGCAGGGCTGCGGAGAGCAGCAGCCCCTGCACGCCGCAGGCACGGCCAGCACGGGCTGAGCCTTTGATGCAAACATCCAACACCTCCTCGGGAGTCCTGAGCGCCTAAATAGAGCTGAACTAAGGAGTGATGTCATGCTGCATCACCTGCCCTCACGCAGGAGCTGACAGGGCTTCCTTTTGTGCTCAGCCTGCTGTTTTCACAAATTGCCAATGTCAGAGGTTATTTTAAGTTCTGGATAGTTTAACCCTCCCGTGAGCTGCATTCACAACTCGTGAGGGTGCACAGAGGCAGAGCTGCACGCACACACCCTCACACTCACCGTGAGCCCACGGGA